CTGGTGGGGCACTGCCCTAAGTGCCCCTATGGATGAGCCTCCACTGAAAAGGACTAAGAACAGTAATATGAAGTATCACATTCATAAGCATTTGCTAGAGCATGGAGTTACTGGCATCCAGCTTTGTCCATGATAAAAAGATACAGGAGATGTATTACCATTTCATTGGCAAGAGATTGATATTGACAACTACAGGATAAACCGAGCATTATATATTGATGGATATCAGGGATGTTGAAGTTGCAACATCATTCATAATACATAATGAGTGTGTTTTGCAGAATCGACAGTACATGGAGCTGTTACAAATGTGTTTGGTTACAGAATGAAGCACGGTTTGTTCCTGTTTCTGCAGATGGCTATGATTAAGTGACTCTCTGGTTCTAAATGATAGTTTGTTGTTTCTGTTACTCTGATTTAATCCATGTTGTTCCTCCTTTCCAGTAAAGTTCAGTTTCCTTAATACATTTGAATCCTATAATTTGTGACCTTTTTCTATTTACAGTGCAACAGCAATGCAACACATGCTTTCATTACTAAAATAAGATAATTAAGGTCCATGACATGCCACAGTAGGATTTCCAGCATAGGCAGAACCTTACCCTGAACCCCATTAAGATCCTGACACAGGTTTTACTGTTGGAATATTAGTCCACAGCAAGGCCGGACTGGGAAAAAAATTAGGCTCTGTAGTTAATCCCTTTCCTCCCTCACCCGTTCTCCTTTCTAAGGGAGACCTGGCAGTGAGTATTCAGTTCTTGCTGCCAGGTCTCCAGCCGTGCGGTGCTGTGTGAGGAGGAAGAGGTGGGGCCAGGAATGGACATCACTTCCTGCCCTGCCTGAAGAGGAGCTGTAGCAGCCTGGCTGACAGCACAGGTAAGCTTCTTATAATTATTTTCTGCTAATCCTCATTCAGCTCAGCACCACCTGCAGTCTTCCTGCACCCACCATAGCCCCACTGTACCCACCACAGCCCCACTGTACCCACGTCAGCTCCTCCTCCACACACCCCATTGCACCCACCTCAGCTCCTTGTCTCCCTGCACCCACCTCAGCCCCCCTGTACTAACCACAGCTACCCCTGCACCTACCTCAGTTCCCATGCATTTACCTCAGCCACCATTCCTTCTTACACTCAGTCCAGGATCTACCTGTCCCTGTACCCACCTAATTCCCTAGCACCCACCACAGCCCCTATGCCACCTCCACCTACCATAACTCCTATGCCTTCCAGTACCCACCACAGCCACTATGTCCCTCCCTGTGCCCACTAAAGCCTCTATGTCCATCCTGTGCCCACTACAGCCCCTTGTCTACCTGCACCCACCACAGCTCCTTCTGCACACATAACATCTCCCGCTGCACCCACCTCAGCTCTCCCTTTACCCACTTTAGCCTCTTGTCTCCTTGCACCAACCTCAGCCCCCCTGCACCCACCACAGCTCCCCCTGCACCCACCTCAGCCCTGTCTGCATCCACCACTGCTGCTCCTGCACCCACCTCATTCCCCCCTGAACCCACCTCAGTCCCCCTGCACTCACCTCAGCCTCCATTCCTCCCAACACTCACCCCAGGATCTACCTATCTATGTTCCCACCACATCCCTTCTGCCACCTCCAACTACCATAGTCCCTATCCCTTTCAGTACCCACCTCATACTCTGTCCAGTCCCACCCCCACCTAAGTCCCCGAGCCTCCCCGTGTCCACCTCAGTCCCTGTGCCTCACAGTGCCTACCACAGCCCCTGTGCCTCCCTGCACCTATTTCAGCATCTATCCCCCCACGCACACACTACAGCCACTATCCAACTTATACACAGTAGAGCCTCTATTATCCAAACACGTACACACTACAGCCCCAGTAACCACCAGATGCCTACTACAGATTCTATTCCACAGACACTGCAACACAACCAGCCATCTCCACTCACATAATGCACTGCAATTGCCCCATTCACACACACAAAAACCCACAAGGAGCCTCACTGTATACACACAATCCCACAAGCAGCATCCCCACACATACAAAACCACATGCTGCCTCCCTACACATACACATCACAAACAGCATACCCACCATTGCAATACTGCACACAGCCTCCACACACACACACACACATCACTTATATTGCACCAACATATTCTGCAGCGCTGTACAATAGGTAAAACAAGAGAAACGATTAATCTAACACAACACTTTGACATACAGGAACATAACATCACTAGCAACATCCCCACACACACAACCCCACAAGTAGACTCCAAACACATGTGGCTACTTGTATGGTTGTACGTGTAGGGTTGCTGTTTGTGATGGCCTCAGCAAAATCAGTGGAAGTGTGTTATTAAAGTTGCTTTATTTCTTTATTTTCAAGGGACACTATAGTCACCCAGACCACTTCAGCTCAATGAAGTGGTCTGGGTGCCAGGTCCCTCAGGTTTTAACCCTTCAGATGCAAACATAGCAGTTTCAGAGAAACTGCTATGTTTACATTTGGGGATAATCAGCCCCTAGTGGCTGTCTTCTGGACAGCCACTAGAGGCGCATCTGCGATGCTGGGGCGCATTCCGCCACCATCACGCAGAGCGTCCATAGGAACGCATTGAGAAATGCTTTGCTATGGATACTTTGAATGCGGACGCGGCACTGCTGACGTCAGAAAGGGGGAGGAGAGGTCACCAGCGCCGGATTAAGGTAAGTGGCTGAAGGGGGTTTTAACCCCTTCAGGGCCACGGGAGGGGGACCCTGAGGTAGGGGGCACCCTCAAAGCACTTTAGTGTCAGGAAAACCGGTTTTCCTGACACTATAGTGATCCTTTAATTGCTGGGAAGGCACGCCAGCAAGGGTTACTCCATCTAAAAACAGTGTTTATTAATACACTGTTTTTGGTTGGATTAACTACTTAAAAGTAAATCTGGCCATTTTTGTGGGCTCTGTTAGTGTGGGAGTCAGGGCTGTGTGGCTCTCACACAGCCATTCTGTGTGATGGGCAGCCTACACATAATATATATGTAAAAGCAGCAGAAAGAAGGGGGAGAAGAGTAGCAGGGGACCAGAACCAAGAGGGGGGGCCCTTAATCACCCACTGCCCGAGGGCCCTGTGAGTGGTCAGTCCACCCCTGCTGCCATATGATGAAGGAATAAAGTTAAAACCATAGGGAGGCAGAGAGCAAGGGAGGGGACACTCAACCTTCCCCTTGTAGGTACAAGATAGGTCAATGGGTCCTGGGATTTAGAAGAAATATGGCATCAGAACTGCACTCATATTCAGTGCAAAAACAAGTTCTGTTAGCAACGTAAATGTTAATAAATCACAGAGTGCAGTTGTCAATATATAAAATATATAAGATATAATTGACTTATCCACAAAACAGTATGTTGTTTTTGTCTTTTGTGGACTCATCTCTTCATCAAGAAGCAAGTTGCTAAAAATAAATAAAATAAAAATAAATAAATCTCCAAGTAGTTGGAATGCTATACTACATGGCTATTTTGACCTACATTTTGTAAGGCAGTTGTCACCCAAGCTGGTGAATAGACCCCCCATGAAGGGTCTTGCTCAGCAAATCATATTTTTCTAGAGTTTGATGCACTCACTGTAATATAAGGGGAAAATTATTTATTCCCACGAGACTGCACTGCATGTGGCATGCTGTTTTTTTTATCATCATATTTGTTTTTAATTCTAATTTATTGTAACCTAAAATTAGTGTAATTTTATAACTATATATTCAGGCATTCTGTTGATGCGTAGTGAAAGTAACCTTTAAAGTTTTGTCTAATTGAGATGACTCAGTGATATGTAAAAATGAAGCAGTGAATCAAGCGTTTACTGATTAGGAGATTGCATGCGGTAATGAAATGTCAGCACTATACAATATTTGATTTATCTTTGATAGGGTGATGTGGCATAATTTAATACATTTGTTTTCCCGACTCAGCAACTATGTAAAATGCATAATCAACACATTTCTTTGTGTGCATGTATTGGTATTTATATTTCTTTAATCCCCGAAGATAATGTAACCTTATTTTAATAAACTGACTCTTAGGGCCCAGTCACAAAATCTGCATTTACTGAGCCATATTCATATCTGTTGCCTTAATTATTGCAAAGGATGATAATTTATTGTGACACATTGTTTTAATTGCACATGCAATTTATATGTAGGGACAAACATCAATATTTCATTGACAGAATATAATAATTCACTTTTTGATGTATGGGGGCTGACATCTTAAGTTATGCCTGCGTAATTGGGTTTCCATATTTATATTTTTCAGACTAATTGGTGATCTACACAAAAAGACATATTGGAATTGTCTACATTAAGCTTAAAGGAACATTATAGTCATAGTCAACCAGATTACTTCATCTCAATATATATTGCAGGGTGAAATCCACCTATAGCTGCTGTCATACTAATTTGGGAATCAAACACATGCATACCCCCAATCCAATGTTTCTCTACTAGAAGCAATAGACTGGAGGCATTTTGTGAAGATGTCAACAGGCAGACTGACATTATCAAAGGTGAAGGCTATATGTTCTGTTTAAAGGATATGGATTTCAATACATTGGTAGCATATACAAGTTAACTATTCAAAAGAGAGGCACAGAAAGAAATAATCTGTGTTTAAAAGCAAATTGATGTTAATTAAATTTGAATTGTCACTTGACAGTAATTATATATTTTGGTAATTCCTTTTTATATTTAACATATATGTATTGATGAGGCCTAACAATTAAATTACATTTAAATATTTAAATTAAATCTAGACAGTCAGTCTGTTTTGTTCTATAGCGGAGTGCCTCCTTCTTGGTTCTCCTCAATTACTACAATGTGTGCTTTGGCTATTCCATGATGGAGCTGGATATATATATATATATATATATATATATATAAAATATATAACGGGGGGGGAGGGGGTTGGCTGAACTCACCAGAACATGCATAAATGGGGGTGCTGCTGGGGGCCAAATAATACAATACACAAGATCCAGCGCACTCACCTATCCACTAAACAGCAACTTCAATGTTGAAAGATTTTTAGGTTTTTTTTGCCTAGATTAGGTGTTTTAAAAAAAAAAACTAAAAATCTTTCAACATTGAAGTTGCTGTTTAGTGGATAGGTGAGTGCGCTGGATCTTGTGTATTATATATATATATCACCCTGGCAGCTGCAACCACTGCATGACAAAAAAAAAGAATATATATTCTTTATTTTTTTCATGCAGTGGTATACAAACAAGCTCATAGAAAACATGTCTGCAAGGTTACATAAGGCAAGAATGACATAAGTGACACAACATATTGAGAGTACTGCATTTAATTTTTTAAGAGAGTTAATTGAACAGGCTAAACAATCATGTTTAAATGGTGAAGCACGAGTATTACAAGCTAAATCTAACATGTATCCACAGGGTAGACATCACTTTGAACCTAATCAGATCTCTGCATAATAGTAGACTAAAATCCAGAAATTGGAGAAATGCCATGGTGTATATTTTAGTTGTCAAACATATTTTTTAAAGTTGGTTGACAATACTTTCAGACAGGGCCGCCATCAGAAATGTTGGGGCCCCTGAAAAGCACAAGGTCTGGGCCTCCCGCGCCCACCCATGCCCTACCTAGTCCACTCACAATGATGCAGGACTGAATGTGGTGTGTATAGTGGAAGTGAATTAGAATGTATGTAATGGATGTAGTGTTTGTGTGTATTAGATACTGTTTGTGCAGTGAATGCAGAGTGTGTGTTTGTGTAGCGGATGCAGTGTGTATAGTGAACGCAGAGTGTATTTGAGTAGTGGATGTAATGTGTGTACAGTGATGTAGTGTGTGTTTGTGTAGTGGATGTAGTGTTTGTATGTACTAGATGAAATGTGTTTAGTGGATGCAGTGTCTGTAGTGGATGTAGTGTGTGTATTAGACGCAGTGTCTGTGTATAGTGAATGCAGAGTGTTTCAATTTGTGGTGGATGTAGTGTGTGTACTGTTAATACAGGATGTTTGTGTAGTGGATGCTGTGTGTACAGTTAATGCAGAGTGTATGTTAGTGTAGTGAATGCAGAGTGTGTGTCAGTATAGTGAATCCACAGTGTGTGCATAGTTTAGTGAATGCAGAGTGTGTGTTAGTGTGTAATGAATGCAGAGTGTATGTTAGTGTGTAGTGAATGCAGAGTGTGTCAGTGTAATGAATGTAGTGTGTGTGTGTTAGTGCAGTGAATGCAGAGTGTGTGTTAATGTGTAGTGAATGCAGAGAGTGTGTTAGTGTGTAGCGGAGGCAGAGTGTGTGTTAGTGTAGTGAATGCAGAGTGTTAGTGTGTAGCGGATGCAGAGTGTGTGTTAGTGTAGTGAATGCAGAGTGTGTTAATGTGTAGCGACTGCAGAGTGTGTGTCAGTATAGTGGATGCAGTGTGTGTGTTAGTGTGTGTTGTGTTAGTGTATGCAGTGTGTGTGCGTTGTGTTAGTGTATGCAATGTGTGTTGTGTTAGTGTACGCAGTGTGTGTGTGTGTTGTGTTAGTGTATGCAGTGTGTGTGTTGTGTTAGTGTATGCAGTGTGTGTGTGTGTTGTGTTAGTGTATGCAGTGTGTTGTGTTAGTGTATGCAGTGTGTGTGTTGTGTTAGTGTATGCAGTGTGTGTTGTGTTAGTGTATGCAGTGTGTGTGTGTTGTGTTAGTGTATGCAGTGTGTGTGTGTAAATGTGCAATGTGTAAATTAAATGTAAATGTTTCTCCCCCCCTCCCTGCTTACCTGTGTCCAGGGAGGGGGGAAATTACATTCCTGGTGGTCTGGACCAGTGGAGGGGCCCCCCGGCTCTCTGTTACCGCAGAGGGGGCACACAGCTTCTCGTCTCTTCTCTCTTCTAATAACTCTCGCGAGACCTGGTTACCATGGCAATGCTCCGCGGGTCTCGCGAGAGTTATTAGAAGAGAGAAGAGAGGAGAAGCTGTGTGCTGCCTGGGCCCCCTTTGCGGTAACAGGGAGCCGGGGCCCACGGCTGCACACATAGATCGCGATATTCGCTATCTATGTGTGCAGAGAAAGAAAGTGGGGCCCAGGACTGCCAGAGCAGTCCGGGCCCCCAGGGCCGCCGGGCCCCCAGGGCCGCCGGGCCCCCAGGGCCGCCGGGCCCGTGACAACCATCATGGATGTCACCCCCTGATGGCGGTCCTGCTTTCAGACAGTTGTTTATCCTGTTATACAGTCATCTAAAAATAGTTACCACCCACTTAAATCATTCAGTTCACTGTCCTATGCTGAGACGCTGACACTAGTTCAGTCAAGCACAACATGGAATGTGATGGCAGATAAGAATCATTCGGCCCATCTAGTCTGCCCAATTTTCTACTTTAATTAGTCCCTGGCCTTATCTTAAGTCTAGCCTTAGGCCTATCCCATGCATGTGTAAACTCCCTAACTGTTAACCTCTACCTTCAGCTGGAGGGCTACTCCATGTGTCCACTACCCTCTCTGTAAATTAATATTTCCTGAAATTATTTTTAAACCTTTGCCCCTCTAATTTAACACTATGTCCTCTTGCTGTGGTAGTTTTTATTCTTTTAAATATAGCCTCTTCCTTTACTGTGTTGTTTACCTTTATGTATTTGAATGTTTCTATCATATCTCCCCTGTCTCGTCATTCCTCCAAGCTATACATATTATGCTCCTTTAACCTTTCCTGGTAAGTTTTTATCCTGCAATCCATGAACCAGTTTAGTAGCCCTTCTGTGACCAAAAACTCAATATTGGATAGAGGTTGTGAAATTGAAGATTATGCTAGCTTTAGTGTACTAATAATCTTAATTTTAATAATGACAGGAGGCGAGTATTTTGCATTAACTCTCTTTACTAAACTCCACAGCAGTAAAGAAAACGTAAAGAGTAACAAATAAATCACTGAGCAGCATAGTATATAAGGGTCATGCTGCCTGTACATTTCCTCTTTCTTGAAGCGACATCCAAGTCCAGATAGAGCTCGAACATCCAGAAACTCAACTGTAACTGCGGTCTCTGGCGAGCGGAACTTGAGGAGACTCCTGGTAACGAGATAGGAGGTAAGACCAAACGAAGCCGTCATCCCATCTTACGGAGTCATGAGGTTAACAAACCAGCGACCAGTGGAGGTCCTGAAGAGGGTTACACTGAAAGGAGAGTATAAAATCGGTTAGGTAACGAACCGTAACTGTTCACGCTTGTTGGCTTTAACAGAATGGTGTAAATTAAATCAGTACAGACAGATTGTAAGCTGGCCAGAGGCTAAATATGTGTTAGGTGTAAGCATGTTGTACAACTAAAACTGTCCGTCTAGGTGGCAATACTGGGGATAGAGATGGAAGAGATTCCGAATATGTCCAGAAGATAGAGTAACCACTAAAATAAATCCCAAATCCGTCACCTTAAGATCCACTCCCCCGAGGAGTCAGGGTAGGGAACAGAAGGGAGGGAAAATACTCGCCTCTTGTCCTTATTAAAATTAAGATTATTAGTACACTAAAGATAGCATAATCTTCAATTTTATAACATGACAGGAGGCTTCCTATTTTGCAATTTTAATGCTGAAGAAGAGACATTCCAGCAGAAGGGGGAGTGCGAAAATAAAATGTACGGAAAGTGGATTCCCTAGACCAGTCCGCCGTTCGGAGAATATCCGAAAGGGACGCCCCTGCCAGGAAGGCTGATGACGCCGCCGCTCCGCGAACGGAGTGGGCGCCGAATGCGGGGGCTATACCTGCGAGGGAAAGGATCCAGCGGATCCATCGGGCCAGTGTGGTGACCGAGACTGGGGCGTGAGGGCGTACGTAGGAGACTAGGAGTTGGCCCGACGTAGAGGACCGGAGTGAGGAGGTAACCGAAACATAACTGCGGAGGGTGGACACGACGCAAAGCTGCGGGTCGTCGGGGAAAAAAGGGGTAAAAGACCGAAGTGGAACCCGACTTAGTGTGATGGGAAATGAGGAACGTGACCCGTCCCGTTCCATGCACCAAGTAGACCAGGAGGCCCAAGCTGAAAGGTAACAGCGTCTAGTTCCTGGGGTCCATGAGTCCCATAAGAGGTCCCTAGCAGCCTGCGATAGTCCGCTGACTCGCCAGGAACCCCGGAAAGAGACCAAGCCACCAGGGGTAGCCGGTCTTCCAGGAGGATTGGGTGGAGATACCCTTTGGGATCCGTGAGCAGGTCCGGGAAGGATGGTAGGAGGAGAGGGTCCCTGTAGGAGGAGGCCAGGAGGTCCGGGAACCATGGTTGGCTCTGCCACAAGGGTTTTATGACAACCAGTTTGATCTGTTGCGTCCGCATCTGGTGTAGTGTTCTCGCAATCATGGAGAATGGGGGAAAGGCGTAGGCTCCTGTCGTCGGCCATTGTTGGAGAAATGCGTCTGTCGCCTTGCTCTCCGGGTCCGGGAGCCAGCTGAAGAACTCCGGGGTCTGGTGATTGTTGCAAGAGGCGAACAGATCCAGGTGAAAGGGACCCCTCCGGGCTGTCAGGGCCCTGAAGATTCTCGTGTTTAGCTTCCAGTCGCTGACGTCTCTCCAGTGGCGAGAGAACCAGTCGGCTGTGAGGTTGATTTCTCCCGGTAAATATTCCGCCTGTAGCGTGATGTTGCGAGGGAGGCAATAGTCGAAGATGTCCCTTCTGATATCCGACAGCAGGCATGAGCGAGCGCCTCCCAGACGGTTGATGTACTGGACTGCGGATACATTGTCCATGCGCAGGAGGATGCAGCAGTTGGATCTTTCCCGGGCCAAGCTGCGGATCGCGAAGGATCCTGCCAGGAGTTCGAGGCAATTGATGTGCATGGAGAGCTCCTGTGCCGTCCATGTTCCTCCCGTGGAGATGGTTCCGTTGGTGGCATCCCATCCCCACAGGCTGGCGTCTGATTCCAATACGAAGTCTGGGGTGTCTCCGAATATGGCCTTGCCGTTCCAGGCTTGCATGCTGTCCAGCCACCATGATAGTTCCTCGCGAACCTCCATTGTCACCAGTACGGGTTGGTCGTAAGTAGGCCTGTGGCGTAGGTATTTCGCCTTGAGACGTTGCATGGCCCTGTAGTGGAGGGGACCCGGAAATATGGCCTGAATGGAATCAGAGAGGAGTCCTACAATCCTGGCCAGGTTGCGTAGTGGAATGGAATCGAGACAGAGAA